TTTTTAGAATATACGCTGAAGAACCAAATTTTATAACTAGAAATAAACAGTCGTTGCGAAATAAGGCACAAAAAGCTCGAATTTTAATTGAAAAAGATTGTACAGCTTTGTAGCAGGAGAATTTCTCAGGACCATCTTTAACTCTCATTTTGCAACATGCACTATATGAGATTTATCAAAGCTTTTTTTTACACTAAAATTTTTCATCAACCATCTGTATTTTCAAGCATTTAAAACATCAAAGCTTTATGAATAAACGTCTTTGGTATAAAAGTTCTATGCAGCATTTCTTCCACTTTTCAGCTGCATTTGTAACACGGTAACTGATAACTTTAGATAAAGTAGAGCACAGAACAGCAGGACGCCGAAAGGTTTTTGACCATCCAGCAGAGAGACCATCAACTAAAAAATTTACAATCTTGTTATACAGAATACCAGGAAAACCAGTGTTACATGTTGAACTCGTGTTTGCTTCTAGATGATTAGTATCGTGTAATCCTCCTAAACAATAAACACTAGCGATAATAAACCCAAATTCGCTCCTTTATGTAAATCATGTTGAGGCCAAGGTAGTTATCTATTTTTTGCTCCAACTAAAAAAAAATTTAAGATAATTTATGGTGTTCTGGTGGCAATTTTTCACAAGCCTATATTTAAGTAAAAAATAGCAATTTGTTATTTCTAGTTGAAGATAAAAATTGAAAACTTCTGCACCTTACAAGTTTAAATTGGACAGAAATGTTCTTTGAAGGAAAAAACATATTACGTCCAAAATAAAGTTAAAGAAAATTCTGTATTATTACTTTAAAAAACATACAGATTTACTTAAAATCTATATTTTGCTACGAGACTTAGCGATAAAAGTGAAAAGTTGTTCAAGAGTATTCTTGCATCAAATAAAATTTGTATTTTGTCTTTTCACGCTCAGTTTTGTACTGACACCAAACTGAAGCCTTCTAGGAAGGCACATGAGCTTTAAACATTATATGCGCAGTCATACAGATTACTCACTTTTCTTCATTTTCCTCTCCAGCAGTTTACGACTGTTATCATATAAGCACTATAGTTCATCGCATAGCCAATTAGCCAACCAGTACAGTCAGTAAAGTTAGTTGGTCAATGGTGGAACATCAGATTATCTCAGTACTATTTCAGTTTCTTCAGTATTTTACAATTGTTCAGATATCTTTTTCAAACTGATTTTGTGCAGCCGAATAAAGCCTTTTTTGTAAAGTGTTTTTTTCCAAGTGAAACATAGAAGAAAAATAGCTTTTAAAAGTCTCGAGAAGTACAACAGCTGTAAGAGGGTTTTTTTATGAATCACAGTGTACTTACGCCACCTGGAAAGCAAAAATAGAAAATTAATATAAATCAGAAGATTTTAAAACATTTGCAAATAGAACAAATAAAACGAGATTTCACAAAGTTAGTTCATATTTTGTAAAAAAAACTTATTTAGACAGAATCGTGCAGTTTCTGGAAATCCTGTAAGTTTCAAATAATCAGTTTTGCGAATAAAGTTATTAAAATTATTGAACTGTATATTTAGTTAAATTTTTTGCAGGAGTTTTGAAGTGAATACATTTTCTAATTTAAACAACAGTTGCATTTATACTTTTGATTATGCTGTTAAACATCAAAAAAAATTATCAATTTTAGTCAAAACAATACCTATTCTTATATCACCAACTAGTTAATAGAAAATCCTGACCTTTTAAAAAAGTTTATTTATCTTTTTTTAATGCTGGTTAGATTTGGGTTAAAGAAATTCTTTGAATTCCAAAAAAATCTGTTGAAATCCAAAAATAGTGTTTTTCAGCTTTTTTTTTTTCTGGATTAGAGCCCTTGCAGAAAATATGAAAAGATTACTTTCGTGTTAACTTGACTATGTGACCAAAGACTTTGTCGGATGGAAAAACAATGTTTATGAAAGTTCTGGTGTATAAATGTTGCATGCTTCAAGAAATGAGAAGAAACCTCAAGTAACACCCAGTATGAATTACCTGTTTACCAAACCGATAAATCAATTAAAATTAGGTTTCTCAAGCAAATATGACTGTAGCATCGTGACAAAAAAGTGTACTTTAAAAATTTTGTTCTCTTGCAATCAAATTTCAATTCTTGACTAAGTTTTTGGTGTAGAATAGCTTTGGAAATTTTCTTGCGTTTAATTCTTCATAGACACTTTTACAGCGACAAAAAAAATAATTTTGATTTTAAGATTTTTCAAACAGCACCTTACAACCGGAAATGTTACTGCATCTTTCTTCTTGATTCATCATTTTAATTTTAAAAACTGAAGCTTCTCAAATCTTCATTATCTTCAATCTGAGATAAAGTCGGGTTTCAGATCTTTAGTTTTACTATATGCGTAAAAAGTGAAAAAGTTTTAGGTCAAATTTTTATCGACACTCAGGAAAACTAACAACTTTTGATAACAGAAACTTACGATTTACGAGCGTCGAAAAAATTGTTAATTTGAATTTTTTAATTTTTACGTATTTAACGAAAAATTTTTGACAGAAGTTCTTCAATTTTTATTGTTCCGATAAATTAGAGCCACCAGACATTAGACTTTTCGATTTTATCAAATACCGTTGCAACCTTATTTGCTAATGCAGTTTGCTCGAAACTATTACTCTAATTTTACGTTTCCGACCATTATAGATTAGTGACTTTCACAAACGGAAAACTGTAGTAAAAATTACTAAAAGGAGAAGTTCTGGTAAGTCTAGAAATCTGGTCGAGACTCTTACTGTCAGGTACAACTGTTTTGCCTGAAAATAAAATTCTTCTCTTTTCTTCGGCAAAGAAGAGCCGTAGTAAAAGCGAAAGGCAAAAAAAAAGTAGGAAAAGCCGAGAATAGAAAAAGATGACTAAGCAACTCGATAAGGTTGAGGAAGTTTAGCTATTTCTTAAAGCCTTTAAACAGTAATAAATGGAATTTCTTCCAAAATTTTGGTTATTTCTATGACAACCGAATTTTTTCCGTAAATGAGTCAGTGGGAAATTCATCATTAAATTTAGCGCAGTGCTGAATGCTGACGAAATTATTGGATTGATGCAGCGGTATTTTAATTTAAGGTTCAGTGTAATTCTTGATGGTTCTTTGTGAATTTGCTGTTGCAAGCCACCAGTTTCAACAAAAATGTAATCTTTTACATGTGTATTCGTTTTGTAGCTGGTGTCTCTCGGATTATATATCTTGGACCATCGCAGCCTGTGAAGCCACAGTATTTGAATAAGCACGAAGGCGTTTTATCGTGCAGAAAATGAAGCCGGAGAAGCAAGGGAAATATGAGCAACTCTATCAATAATTGGTTCCCTAGAAAGTGAAAAAAGCCTAAGTAACTTTCTCAGAAATATGTTATCGACAACTCTCGAAAACCATTTGAGCAAATAATAAAGCAATTCGTCGCCAAAAATAGTTAATAAACTGGAACACGGTAGTGCTGCCAAATCACTATCTAAGAGTAATAATTGTATTATCAAATAAATTTTCAGCATTTTCAGTTTCATGGATGTAGAGGTATTTTTTTAAGTTCAACTGTTGAAATATGACAGTATAATTTACAGCGTAAAAAATGTTTTTCTAAGCCGTAATGCTATAAAAATAAACTGTAAATTTGATATTGAAAATGTAAAAAGTGAATGAAAGACTTTAAGGAAATCTTAAAGATGAGGAATTAAAACTACAGACAAAATACCAAAAAACTGTTA